TGTTAAGGATTGTATCGTAAAGGGGAAATAACGAGGTCATCACTGATTACACTGACAGCGACGTGCTTCACAAACTAGTTAGCGACTTACTGTGAAGACACTGTTTGACTCCACACCACCATCTGCTCAGCTGTGACACCGACTCCGCTGCATGTGCTGCAAACAGCGCTAACAGAAGTGTAAATAATGAACTATGTGGCACCATTTCTGCATTAACATATCAGACAACACACACACCGATGTGAATGTTTCTGTGGGAGGCCGGTTATCAGCAGATAGCATCAGCGGTCGATCCGGCTCTAGTACGGTACGATCACCATCCCTATGGTCCCGATTTAAAGGTTCATTCTACACTTTCAGAAATGTCAGCTTGACTGGAAAAGATTCTTCCAAAGCTTGCGGCCTTCATCAAGTTGTCATGGGGATGTTTTAGTGCTTATCAAGCACCACGAGCATGGAACAACTGAGGAAAGGAGACGTAACAAGGTGGACCTTGTGTTGAGAACCGGAAAGGTAGAAAAAAAGCAGTCCTCTTTCACAAATCAATTCTCTTTGTTCTACAGTTATCATCGGCTCAATTGCAGGAACTGTATGTAACTCTGAGCGTCACATCACATCAAGGCAAGTGCATTTATGGCCAACTTGGCTGCAAATGACTGGTACTTTCATTATCACTTCATCTGCTGACTGTTTTTTCTTTGGTTACTATTGAATGCTACTGTAAAGTTTTCTAGAGCACGTAATGTCTCTGTAAATATCCCTTCCCAACGTGCTAAATTCGTCCAGCCCTCAAAGACTCAATTTGCAATTTCAGACCCTCCTGGGAGATTTGCTAACCCCCTGGGGGAACGCTCACTACTATTTTTCACAGCTTCTTCACACTTCTATCTCCTCCTCACGGATAGAGGATTGTATTAAAAATAATAGTATAACTCGTTTACTTATTTATCCACTGACAAGGAAAAAAAAAAAACTTGAACCCTTGACTCCTACAGTGAAGGAATCTGGAGGAAATTAATGACAAAGAAAAACTGCTGGACTCAACAGATTCCCAACCTGGATGATGCAGACAAAGGATGCCTGGCTTTAAACTTCTATTGTAATTGGAAAGACCTCTGAAGAGGGAAGGTGGCTGAACTGCTGCTTGAATTCAGACGCACTTACTAACGAGCGGATGTGCCGTTAAATTGCTCGCACACAGCTGTGGTGCTCGGCATTATCGCTAAATGACTGAAATTCATACGTCTTTTTCTTCTGCCAGAAGTGGTTCTGATGAGTAATTGAGCAACTCTTCTGGAAAGATGCTGTCTATGCATTAAAATTCTTCGAATGCCATTTAATTTAATGCCTTAAGCAGCACCATTATTGTTCTGGAGTGGCAGCAGGAATCACAGATTAAAACTTAAAACTCCATCAGATAAAACGACCAGAGAGACAAATATGTGAAGAATGATGAACTGAGCATTTAAACAACTTTTTCCTGTAGTTTAATATGCGGCCAGCTTAACACGCGTTTCAATTATTGCCTTCAGATGAAAGCAACAGATACCAGAGGATGAAAGGTCCTTGAAATGCTTCTTTGAAACCGATTCAAGGTGAACGCCGTTCTTCAGATCTGACGCTTGCGTCTGCGTGAGAGCGAAGAGTGAGTCGATGTCGGCGTGTGCGAATCATGCAGGTTAGCTCGTCCTGCTCCTGTCGCTGCAATCGCTGCTCGTCACAGACAGACGAGCCTCCCCCTCCTCCTCCCCCACCTCCCACCATGACCAACACACTGACACAGAGCCTGAGTTGACCTTCAGCTCTCTGTGCACCAGAGCCGGGCCCGACCAGTCAGTCAGACCATGAGCGGGGTGGACTGCTGGATCCTGGGGCAGGCCAGCAGACAGCATCACTACTGGCTGAGCATCAGCAGCGGGGTCACGGCGTAACAGAGGATGACCTTAACCAGTCACAACAGCTGCCTCTGCAGAAAATGTTTTATTTTAGGCTCCGACGGTTGTGCAACATAATTAGCACAAAATTATTTTTATTATCCACTAGTCCAGCGATTTTCTTCATGAAGTGATGAATCACTAAGTCTAGATAATATCACCAAATGCTGAAAAACACACACTCGTAATCTCTTCAAGCCCGAGAGGACGTCTTTAGTTCACTTCTTACCGACTAATGATTTAAAAATCCAAAGAAATTCAGCTGAATATCACGTAAGACAAAGAAAGTAAGCGACTCTCCACATATTAGATGTTGGATCGAGGTGATGTTGGGTTTCTTTGCTTGGAAAATGAGTTGTTGTCTGAATAGTTTTAGCTCCACCAACAACACACTTGTGTATATAACTAAGCTGCACAATTCACTTGGATCTTATTGTTGTGCTTTGTTATGGAAGCAAGTGCAGATGATAGAAATTAATCTCAACAGTCCCGGGGGACGGTGCAACAAACTATATCTTTATCAGGGTTTTAATGAAAGTCGAACACCTCAGGCTAACTAATAAAGTTTGTTTGTGGATTTCTAACGAGCATTTCCTTAAAAAAATGTCTGACAGAAAGCCTGTGGTTGATGCTGTGCTGCAGAGAGACCCGATCTCACAGGAAAGTATTAGCGTTCAGAACATCTGTAAGAATAAAAAGTCTGCAGAGGAAGCTGTTCAGAGACGTGGAAACTGCGTCACACTCCAGCTTTTGAGCCTGAGCTCTGAACAGGATTAATTATTGTTTATATCAGGAAATAATTTGCTTCACCTTAATGACGCGCCACGTCTCAAGGGCAACACGTTGGTTTGGAAATGTGAGGAAACATTTTAATTTCTGACAACACATTTTTTATGCTCAATAACAAAATAATTGCACTTCAGGATTGAGTCTTTTTTTTTTTTTTACAGGAACTAAAACTCTGCTTTCATTAGACAGTTTTTTAATCTTCTCATTATGGTGCTTAGAATTAGACAAAAGTGTTATTTAAATAATGAATATAGATAGTGTGCTGGTTTGTGTATAATCAAACGGTAAAGAACTTACTGAAGGAAATCTAAAACACTAAACAAGTCTTTGTGAATACGGTTTAACTCCACGCGATCGCTGTCGTTTGGCACGATCAACTTCCTGCTGATTAAATCCAAACTATCTGCTCTCAAGCTGTTTGATGGCTTCAGCTTTGATTGAAATAAAGATGTGTTCATGAAAAATAAAAAAAACTGAAAGTAACAGACTCAGCTTTGCCTCTGACTCACTAGTAACCTCGAAGAGACCGTCGCAGCAGCAGCAACGTAACACTTTCTACTGTTCAGATTGTGAACTTTAGGAACTCTTTTCCCTCCTGACATCAGCTACGTAATCACATGTCAGCTACAAACAAGCTCTACTGAAAAGTGGAGAGAGAATGAGCCAGAGCACAAAAGAGAGCTGAGATAGAGTGATCCACTTATCGATGTGGATGCTGATGATGATGCTGATGATGATGACGACGGAGGAGGAGGTGGTGAGTGATGACTGTTACCTCACTGAATTGACCTGTGTTAACTGAGTCATTCTCAGTGAATGAAAGCAGACCCATTCAAAAGGGACCACTGACAGTTTATGCCCTTTTTCATGACAAAACATCACTGCTCACCATGGACTCTCTCTGGATCTAT